GACCGCAAAAAAAATTTTTGTGGTCGTATATTGGTATGACGTTGGCGTCGTCGTCGTCGTCGTCGTCGTTGTCGTCGTCGTCGTCGTCGTCGTCGTCGTCTGGCGTCGTCCGGCGTCGTCCGAAGACACATTGGTTTTCGCACTCTTACTTTAGTTTAAGTTAATGGATCTCTATGAAATTTTACCACAAGGTTCACTACCACAAAAGGAAGGTTGGGGTTGATTTTGGAGGTTATGGTACCAACAGTAAAGGAATTAGGGGCCAAAAATAAGCATTTTTGTAACTTCCAGACATAACTTGTGTGTTAGTGTATGGATCTCTCTGACATTGTACCACAAGGTTCCATATCACAAAAGGTATGCTGGGATTGATTTTGGGGGTAATTGCCTCAAAATTTTAGGAATTAGGGGCCAAAAAAGGGGCAAAAAACAAGCATTTTTCTAGTTTCAGGACAATAACTTGTGTGTAAGTGTATGGATCTTTCTGAAATTGTACTACAAGGTTCCATATCACAAAGGGAAAGCTGGGTTTGAGTTTGGGGGTAATTGCCCTAAACGTTTAGGAATTTGAGGCCAAAAAGGGGCCAAAAAAACACATTTTTCTAGTTTCCAGACAATAACTTGTGTTCAAGTGTATGGATCTCTCTGAAATTGTACTGCAAGGTACCATACCACAAAGGGAAGGCTGGGATTGAGTTTGGGGGTAATGAATCATAAGAGGGTTCAAATAATTTTGGGGGGGGGGATTTTTTTTTTTCCTTTTTGTGCAAAAGAAGATACTTCGTATAAATTGCTTATTTCTTGACCAATTTCAATGGGGTTTTATTCTTGAATTCTTGGGGTTCTTTAATATGCTGAATCTAACCGTGTATTTAGTTTTTGGATTTTGGGCCCCGTTTTCAAATTGGTCCACATTGAGGTTCAAAGGGTCCAAAATTAAACTTTGTTTGATTTCATCAAAAATTGAATTATTGGGGTTCTTTGATATGCTGAATCTAACCGTGTATTTAGATTTTTAATTTTTGGTTCCGTTTTCAAATTGGTCTACATTAAGGTCCAAAGGGTCCAAAATTAAACTTAGTTTGATTTTAACAAAAATTGAATTCTTAGGGTTCTTTGATATGCTGAATCTAAACATGTATTTAGATTTTTGATTATGGGCCCAGTTTTCAAGTTGGTCCAAATCGGGGTCCAAAATTAAACTTTGTTTGATTTCAACAAAAATTGAATATATGGGGTTCTTTGATATGCTGAATCTAACCATGTATTTAGATTTTTGATTTTTGGGCCCCGTTATCAACTTTGTCCACATTGAGGTCAAAAGGGTCCAAAATTAAACTTTGTTTGATTTCATCAAAAATTGAATTCTTGGGGTTCTTTGATATGCTGAATCTAACCATGTATTTAGATTTTGGATATTGGACCATAATAGGTGAATGTCCAATTTAAGATTTTTAAGTTCTTAGACCACATTCATTCTGTGTCAGAAACCTATGTTGTGTCAAATATTTAATCACAATCCAAATGCAAAGCTGTATCAAGCTTGAATGTTGTGTCCATACTTGCCCCAACTGTTCAGGGTTCGACCTCTGCGGTCGTATCAAGCTGCGCCCTGCGGAGCATTTTATTAAAAATAGAATAATCACAAAAGTTTAATTACGCAAGGTGAAGTATTAAAATTGAAAATCATGCCGCACTTCCGTTTTGTGTCAGTCGGCTGTTCCGATTAACTGGTTAAATGGAACAGCCGAAGGACACCAAACGGAAGTGCTCCGAATACAGGAGTACTATTTCCATATCAAGAAGCAGAAGCATGCGCAAAATTTTAGTGAACAAAGAAATATATTGTTAAAATTTATGTTTTTTGAATTTTTATTTACACTGAAAAAGTGTGCGTCGAAATTGGATTTTTATATTGGCCCACACTGGAATTTGATATTCACTCGTCAAGTGGGCGACAGAGATGTAATTTTTATTGGCCCACACATATATTTACTTGCCAATGGCGAGTGGGCGACCGCTAATTTCAAACCTTGAAACCTTTCTTTAAGACTTTCAACATTAAATCAAGTATTGTCATTTCAGCATGTGTACTATTTTTTTTTTTTTTGCTTTACAGTTTTCAAAGTACAAACTGAATCAGCCACAAGTTCTTTATCTGTCATTTACAATTGCCGCATCGTGCCAAACTTTGTTGACTTCTGTCAGGATTAAATACCGGGGTTTGTTTATTAAATAATACCTCATATTTGACCATATATTGTTTTCATCGGAATTTGTTTGCTTTACAATTTTATTGTGAGTTTAGGTTGTCAATATCGGCGTCAGTTTCTACAGAACTAGTTGGAAACAGTTGCTTATCAATGTTTTTAAACATTCGATAAGTTCTGCAGAACATTCTACATTTGTATGATTAAGATTTGACAAATCATGATGCAAATATGTAGATGAACTTTTTCTTTTACTGTATAATGAATTCATTTTTGTCGAGCCTGCGACTTTAGTCTCAAAAGCGAGACATAGCGATACTACATTCCGTCGTCGGCGGCGTCCACAAATATTCTTTCTGTGGTTAAAGTTTTTGAAAATAATAACTTCTGAAACTTTCCTGGATTTCTACCAAACTTGGACAGAAGCTTGTTTATGATGATAAGATAGTATCCAGAAGTAAATTTTAAAAAAAAAATGTTAATCCGTGTTTTACTTATAAAGGTACTTAGTTTTCTGCCAGTTAACATTACATTCACTGTGTGGTTAAAGTTTTTAAAATTTTAATAGCTTTCTTAAAAAATCCTGGATTTCTACCAAACTTGGACAGAAGCTTGTTTATGATCATAAGATAGTATCCAGAAGTAAATTTTGTAAAAAAAAATCCTGTTTTTCCGTATATATCTTATAAATGGACTTAGTTTTTCTTCCATTTAACATTACATACAGTCTGCAGTTAAAGCTTCTTTTAAACATTTATTAGATTCATAAACCATCCTGGTTTTTTAACCAAACTTGGACAGAAGCTTCTTACATTCAAAAGATAGTATCTAGAGGAAAATTTTTAATAATTATTTCCCAATTTTTGTTGAGCCTTGGACTTTTGTCGCAAAAGGGAGACATAGCGATCCTACATTCCGTCGTCGTAGACAACAGCAAAAATAGACGAGATACTGTGTTCCGCGGAACCCTAACGATTTTTTTAAATGGAATTATTTCAAGACATTTCTAGAAAATATTCAAACAATTGTGATTTAAGTAACTAACTTTTTGTCTTATAGACTTTGTGACCTTCTGTCTGTTTACGGAATCAAATATATCCAGTTATCTTTCAATTAACCATTTGTCAGAATGATTATTAATGAGTATGACAGCATAATTAATAATTTGGTTGACAACACATCTCTACACTCTGCCCCAGGGGCATTATGTTTTTCGGACTCTGCGTCCATTCGTTCGTTCGTCCGTCCGTTTGTCCGTCCCTCCGTCTGTCCCGCTTCAGGTTTAAGTTTTCGGTTAAAGTTTTTGGTCAAGGTAATTTTTGATGAAGTTGAAGTCCAATCAACTTGAAACTAAGTACAAATGTTTCCTATGATATGATCTTTCTAATTGTAATGCCAAATTAGAGTTTTGACCCCAATTTCACGGTCCACTTAACATAGGAAATGATAGTGCGAGTGGTGCATCCGTGTACTATGGACACATTCTTGTTTATGAATGAGTCACGAATGACCAGTGTGCAACTTGCTGTCATTGAACAATCAGTTCTTACTGTGACGTAATAACATACGTATTCTCACATAGAAAATGTACAGGAAATTGCACGAATTTAAAAGCCGCCTATGCTTATAAAGCTTATTTATTTTTATAGTAAAAAATTCAATTAGTAGTAACTAAAATAATAAGATATGAAAGGATGAATATGAAATGTATAATTTGATTCAGTAATAAATTATAAAATATCATAAAAATGTTAGAACTAAATGGTACACTAGTTGGGTTAACTGAGATAAATTTATTGAGTATTTAATTAGCATTTGATATTAAATAAATATTTTCATTCATTTCATCAAATGATTTTTTTCTGCACAGTAAAGCATTGCGCACTTCTTAGTAACTATAAACAAAAGCAACATTTCTGTGATATTATGGTAAATACTATTTGATTCAGCAATCCTGTTAAAATTATAGACCGGCTTTTGTATATTGGGAGAAAATTAAGTCATTTTTTTTTCAAACTACTTGCAGTCTGTATTTTAACTCAATGGAATACCGGCAACGATTTGGTCCTTTTCCAATATAATCTTTCTTTTTATCAAATTTATTTGATTATCAATTGACTTTAAAAATCATACAAAGGTTTTAAATCGGGTTCTTTACTTTTGGAAAAATTTTAGTTTAAAATTCTACGTCTCCATTTCTATACAAGGAGTCTTCCGACCACGATTTCCTTCAGAAATAATATTTAAGTATTGAACAAGTTGTATATTTTATCGTGATTTTAAGTTCAAAGTGGCAAAACCAGCTTGACACATTCTGGTTGAACAAGGCTTCCTGCCAACTTTTGGGGGAACTGAGGTGGAACTGTGATTTAATTGATTTTAGAAAATCAGGAAAATCAGGCCAGTGGATGCCATGTGGATCATTGGCACAAAGTTTAAAGTTTTATTTGTGTTATTGTGTCACAGCATCTTGACTTAAAGACTTTGAGGGATCACGAATGTTGTCTTGGTTCGTCTTCAATCTCACTGTTTATTCCCTTGTATCTTCTTTCAAAGCGCTTACCAGAATTCCAATAATCTTGCACATATTTGTGTACAGGACATGACGTTGTGGACTTGTTATTTAAAATTTTGACTTTCCCGTGTACCAAACCATGGTATATGTTATGTATGCATATATAATTTGCAAAAGGCAGTACATTTTCCTCCTTAGATTCACATGTTTTTAAATTAATCATAAGTTATGTTCATATCTATTTTAATATAAGTATATTATTTAATTTATTGCAGATGAATTAAAACAAATGTTTGAAAAAGCTGGACTAGTAGAGAAACAGAATTTAATTGACAGACGTTTACAAGTGAACAGAGGAAAACAGTTAAAAATGTACAGAGTTTGGATACAATGTAAATATGTAAAACCTTGCTGATTTACGAATTAAATTTTGTCATATTTGTTTTTCTTTTATTGAATAGTCAGAAATGAAACTTTTTGTTTTTTCTGCATTTGTTTTATATTTTGTCATGTCGTGCCCTTTAAGACTTACGTGGTTTAGTATTGCTGGAGCCTGAAATATAATTATACTTACTAATGAAAATGTAAATATTAATCAGATATTGTACTTGTAACCTGTACAGTTCACAAATTCGGCTAAGATTGTTAATAGAATCAATACATCTTGAAAATAGTTTTATATATCTTGAAAACTTTTTTATCATTCTGAACAAAATGTAATCTTCATGATATTTCAGAAACATTATTCTTGTTGTAACAAGATATAAAGTAAGAAACAGTCCTGTGTTCATCCTGCAGATGCACACTCAATGACAGAAATATTTTTTGTCGCACCTGCGACTTCTGTCGCAGAAAGCGAGACAATGGTATAGTGATCCGGCGGCGGCGGCGGCTGCCGGCGGCGTTAACAAACTTCTGAAAAGCTTAATATTTCAGAAGATAGAACACCTGGATCCTTCATACTTTGTATATAGATGCCTTATGGTATGAAGTTTCCGTCTCATATGTCCATTGTTCATTGACCTTGACCTCATTTTCATGGTTCAGTGACTACTTGAAATTTCTTTCTTATTATGAGTAATAGGATAACTATATTTGGTATGTGCATACCTTGCAAGGTACTCATGCCTGTCAGACAGTTTTCGCTTGATCTCGACATCATTTGATGGATCAGTGAAGAAGTTTAAGTTTTCGTGGTCATGCCCATATCTCAGATACTATAAGCAATAGGTGTACTATATTTGGTGTATTGAATAAATATAAGGTGTACATATCCAACTGGCAGGTGTCATCTGACGACCTTATTTTCATGGTTCAGTGGTTTAAGTTGTTTTATTTTTTGTGTTTTGGTCTGTTTTTCTAATACTGTATGCAATAGATCAACTATATTTGGTATATGGAATGATTGTAAGGTGTATATGTCTGTCTGGCAGTTATCATCTGACCTTGACCTCATTTTCATGGTTCATTGATCAATGTTAAGTTTTCCTGGTTACGTTTGTTTCCTATATAATATGTGCAATAGGTCGACTATATTTGAAGCATAGAATGATTGTAAGGTGTACATGTCTGTCTGGCAGGGTTCATCTGACCTTGACCTCATTTTCATGATTCTTTGCTCAATATAAAGTTTTCATGGTTTGGTCTGTTTCTTGTATACTATAAGCAATAGGTCAACTATATTTGGTGTATGAAATGATTTTACGGTGTACATGTATTTCTAGCTTAGTTTATCTGACCTTGACCTCATTTTCTTTGATCATGTTAAGTTTATGTGATACTTGTATATTTTAATTTTATATTTAGGACTTTCAGCATAAAATCAATGGTCAGTAAAGCAGGCGAGACATTTCAGCGTGTGCACTCTTGTTGTTAACTTATATGCATTTTCAAAACAAACTTCTGTCTAATACTTATTATAATATAAACTTCTCGAAAATCTGATGCACGAGGCTAAAAAGATTAAAAATCCGAAATTTTATTTATTCGATAAAGACATTACTCCCCCGAAAAGGAACACAAGTATAACAAACATGGAATAAGAGTCGGAGTTGTACATATAGGAAGATACTACATTTATTTTAGATGAATTCTTAAGTTTATTGACCGTTGAGGTTGGTTGAGGATAAAACTTGTCCAAAAAGGTAACATTTCAACTTTCAAATTGGATTAGGGTTAGGGTTAGGGTTAAAGGAAATACTGCTTACAAAGCAACTATTGAACCAAGGATTCTTAATGCTCAAGTTGTAGTCATCCCTCCGAAAGTTTTATGGACGCCATCACGAGTTGGTTGACCGTCATGGAATATATGGGTCTTAGATTTGCACAGGCATGCTCCAATTGTCGGAACAAGAATCCTGTTTTGTATACGACCGCAAAAATGTTTTGCGTCCGTATTATGTTATGGCGATGTCTGCGTTGGCGTCGGAAGACATTTTGATTCGCAGACAATAACTTGAGTATGAGTTTATAGATCTGTATGAAATTGGGTTAGGGTTAGGATTAGGGGGGTTTTGCTACCTTGCAACTGAGTTGCAACTAGGGGAGATAATTTCTTTTCAGTAGAGGCATAGCTGATTTTAATTCAACTTCTATCAAGATAATTAATCTAAGTGAATATTTTTAACGGCATGCGCCGGATGTTTAGTGGAATAACGGCACCTAGATTTTAATAGCTTCTTGACGTCATAGGACGTAAAATATTTGCTTGAAAATTACAAATTACATACATACATACATACATGCATACAAACATACAGCTATATGCCTCTACTGAAAAAAAATTATCTCCCCTAGTTCCAAGGTAGCAAAACCCCCTTAATCCTAACCCTAACACTTACCCTAACCCCTAACCCTAAGGGTTAGAGTTGGGGTTAGGGGGACTTTGGCGAGATTTGTGCCCTTTTCCACTTCTGCGCATGTGTGCCCATTTTTGTGACTGCGCATGTGTGAGGGTTAGGGTTAGGGTTTTAAACCCTAACAGTAACCCTTGCGCATGCGCCTTTATCTAACCCTAACCATTAGTTCCTTTGCGCATGCGCCGATATGTTTTGGATTCAAGGGCATTTTGCGTAAATATTCACTTACCTCGAAGAATGACTGCGCAGGCGTAGAGATACTCAGAAGTTTAACTGCGCATGCGCGGAATTGATTTAGTTCAACACTTATACAGGGTATTTAAAGGATCAATTTCCAACTTAACATTCGTAACTTAATTGGAATATATTTGTCATAATACGCCGTCACTAAATTCAGTGGCAGGACTTGGTTGTACAACATTTTAATGTGGTCCACTAACCCTATGTTTGGGAAACAATAGCTATGCAAGTCTATTTACGGACATTTTAGACCGAAATATATGTCTGTGTGTCAAGAATATGACTGTTGTTTCCAGTCGTTGTGTTAGTTGATGTTTTTGAGCCTTTGGTTTTGCCAGTTGTTTATGGACTTTGCCCTGTTTTTGATTTTTCCTCGGAGGTATTTGAATCATCTTTATTTCGTTTGAGACATGAAGAGATACGAATTTCCGTTTTATTTATCAATAACTTATGACATTAATGAAATGGGTCTCCCATTCCATTGGTGGCATTGGGTTGTTTTGTACTGGTCGGGTTGTTATCTCTTTTATACCTTCTCCGTTTCGATTCTTAATTCTATCAGAGGTCTACATGTTACTGCTATCAGAATAGTAATATCTGTTTTCAAAGACCCATATCATATATTTTTTGCTACTAAGGTTTTCATCTGTTCCTCCTATATTGCGTTGTTTTCTACTCGAAAAGATATTTAAAACTGGCGGCCGTCTTTCATCTCAAAATCAGCTTGGTATTACGTGAACTGGAATTGGGTATTAAAAAAGAGGGACGAAAGATACCAGAGGGACAGTCAAACTCATAGATCGATAATAAACTGACAACGCCATGGCCAAAAATAAAAAGACAAACAGACAAATAATAGTACAGATAACACAACATAGAAAACTAAAGACTAAGCAACACGAACCACACCAAAAACTGGGGGTGATCTCAGGTGCTCCGGAAGTGTAAGCAGATCCTGCTCCACATGTGGCACCCGTCGTGATGCTTATGTTATTACAAATCCGGTAAATAGTCTAATTCGGTAGGTCACATTCGTGAAAAGGGAAGGGTATTGTAGTAACGACATAAGGAACATATCCGATATTATCTGTGAAACGGTTATTCCATAACGGTCAACCAACTCGTGATGGCGTCCTTAAAATTTACGAAGGGATGAATTCAACTTCACATTTGGAACTCTTGGTTTAATAGCTTCCTTGTGAGCAGCAATCCTCTATCAAGGAAATCATGATAGGAAATACAAGCCCGGATATATCGTATCAATTGGGAGATATATACTCCGTATGCAGGCGCTGCTGGAATGTTGCTACTAGAAATGAAAAGTTCACAATTGGGAATTGTTGTCTGCTAGGTTTTTTAAGCAGTATTCGAAGTTGTATAAACTTTTTGTTCTGATTCGTTTTTAAGCAGTATTCGAAGTTGTATAAACTTTTTGTTCTAATTCGTTTTTAAGCAGTATTCGAAGTTGTATAAACTTTTTGTTCTAATTCGTTTTCCATTATGGGTAACTTATTACTGAGGAAGGATACAATATATAATTTGTGACACACTTTTGTCATAATAACCTATTTTCATGTGTAAGTACTATTTGTGTGTGTTTGTCGTGTTCGGATATCCCACTTAAAGTGTAAAAGATGCAGAAGAAACAATGACAGAAAGGAAATCGAAATCATTATCCAAAGGACAATATCTAAACGAGAATACTGGTAAACAAACAGACCCAGAGAGAGACGTACGAACATAAAACACTTAAAATCAACCGTGGGCAATACGAACTCAAACCAAAAAGATGTGAGTAGTTGACACAAATACTGCTTTTGTGAACAAGGAGACCCCAAATGTATGCAGATAAAGAACAAAACACTGTGTTCTAGTTATGTATACAGTTGTTTATACATGGTCACATACAAACTTAAGTTAATGTACAATCGTAGATGCATATATAAAACACACATTCTGTATTTACAGTTGGCAGCACACAATGAAGGTTTATATACAAACATAAAAAAACTGTAAACACTGGCACACATACAAACTACAATTGCCACACACATAACAGTCATACCAAAAAATCGGACAAACATGCATTCGCTTATACCAACATAAATTATATTTTTTTACTACAGGTTTATGTGAATATAAATAACTCTACAGATACAATGAAAAATTATTTACGCACACGCGAAGAACAAGAAAATCACACCTGTTTGTAAAGACGTGCGTAAAAAATTAAGAGGTGATATGATTGCACTGATATACAATGGTTTGTCCAGATAGAAATTAACCCTTAGAAATCAGAATAGAAAGTACAAGGTTAACCAACTATTTCAAGCATAACACAA